GCAGGCAATTCAAGCAGGGATCATTTGCACATGAGTAAACATGAATGGCACATTTCACTGGCAGTTCCACAAAACCTCCAGTTTCAGAAATTGCTCATTATTTCAACAGAAACGTATTTCCCAAGGTTGTGTGTGTCTTGCAAACTGTGGTTGATAATCCTATATGTCTGATGTTGCTAGACTAATAGAAATGTTTTTTGTATTGTGTGAAACAATTACATATGACATATAACTAATTCCTGCATTTTAGCACTCTTTCAACATACAGATCACAGTGTTTAATGATGACTACATTTAAGTAAAAAAGAAGGCTGAACTGGTGTGTGGGAGAAAATATGACTTTATTTGATGAATTTGGTAAAAGGAAACAAAGTAGTTTAATGTGACCCAACTATACTTCAACTACAGCAAGAAATAACAAACATGTCCAAAGATCTTTAAAACTGAAGAATGCATTTATAAAAGACCTTATAAAAAAACATAATTTTTGCAAAACAGGGGTGGAATTTACATCCTGTGTTTGATGTGTTATGGTCAGTAACTATGCAACATCTACTATACAGAAATCAGAGATGGAAAAAAAAAATCAAACACATCTTTACTCTGGAGAAAAACAGGTCACCTGAGCATTATGGGCCAACACTGCAGATTGTAGACGTATGCACTGACTGGAGGGAACACCAGATGGAGAGTGTGAACTACAGGAAAAATTATCTGTACTTTTTCAACCACAGCAAGTTGTTAATTGGGACTTCTGTTGGTGTTGACCACAGTTTGAATGAAGTCTAATTAGGGCCTGTGCAGCGACCACTGCAAAGGCCTTATAGTCAGTGGTGCCCGTAGAAGTGGGTAAACTCTTAATTTATGCCCCCATTTATTTTTTAAAGCGGCCCTTCCAGCAAAGGACTGGGCCAGTACATTCTCACTTAACTTCTGCTGCTTGACTTCAGGGAGTAAGGATCATATTCAAATAAACATTAGCCACAGAAAAGGTGCAGATATTGCATAAATACTGGCACACACGGGTGAGACAACTACGTAATTATGCATTCTGAGTGAAGTCTTCCTTACTCCATCCACTCATGAAAACTGTAATTGGAAAAAAACTACTACTACTGAATGATAAGCATTGTGCATCATGTTATACCCATCGCTGACTGAAAAATATTCAAGTATACACATTAAACTCTGTATACCTGCATATACCCTGCACTACACCACTGCTTGTTGTAATGTATGTATTTCACTGTATGAAATTTAGTATGCAAGTATATCATACCCTGACTAACTAAATTTCACTGGTCATTGGTCATTTTTGGTGATTTGCAGGCGTTGTATGACTTACTAAAGAATTAATTGGATCGACTTATTCAGTCAGTGCAATCTGAACACCTTCATGATGAAAAGTTTTATTAACTATGAGTTTTTGTTGAATGGCGTTGAGTTTTGAGGTTTTGCTGAGAAACAAGAAGTTGTTGTATCCGCTGCTTAAAATGGTTTCATTCAGATGAAACAGTATAAGCAGAGCATCAAAAAACAAAAACAGGACTTTATAATGGCCTCTTCAGAGGTTTTTGTGGATGAGTTTCAGCACCACTTAAACAGAATATATGTCTTTTCAGATACTTTCTGAACGTTTTGTCTCGTAGCCCATAAACAACTGGGCTGATTAGTCGAGGCAGAACCTGAACGAATATCGCGACAGTGAAACGAATGGCCAGTACCCCTTTTGGGAACAAGTATGTCAGACCTTCTATCATAAGATGAAAAACGTAGGTGAGCATACACAGCAGCAGCTGGAAGCCATGAAGGAGCACAGTGTTCCTTGCTTTCTTGGCGTCCGCAGAAGCCGCTTGTGCAGCGAAAAGGATCCTGAAGTATGTGTAGAACAGAGTGAGCCAAATAATGACCAGAAACACTATGTTGGATATATCTCTCTTCTCTGTGAGATTGGGGTTTCTGAAAATATTTTCCCTGAGACAAAAAACTCTGGAACGAAAGAACTCCAGGGATTCTGTTGCCAGTGCGTCAAATAAATCTGGCAGGATTGAAAGTGAGCTTATCACCCATATCAGACCGATCACAACATATGTTTTCTTTACTGTACAGATCTGTGCGTGGCGGAGAGGGAAACATATGGCGATGTAACACTCCACTGCCATAACAGCTAGCGTTAGGGGATTGTTTAGATTGGCAAATATAGCAATCATTAGCAAAATGATACATAAGGAGACGTTAAGAGTGAACACGATGTAACTCAGCACCTGAACAAGAGTGAACATGGTCAGCAGGATAATATCGTTGATCACCAGATGGATGTACAGGATGTATCGAGGGTTCATATTGAAAACCTGCAGGTAAAAACAGAATTGATTAGAGAGAATATATATGAGAATATATCACACATGGTGCTTTTTCCTAAAGGGATGAAATGATTTTAACACTTGTGCTAAATGGATTTCTAGAAACAGATACAGACCTGGTGTTTTTTGAATGTGTGCACCAGCGTACCGTTGACATAGTTGATGGAGATGCAGAGAACCACAGTAATCACGTTCTTGATAATAGCTGTGTTTAAAGTGTCACGATAGACCGTTGTTGTGACATTCCTGTTAGTATTTGAAAGGCTCATGAGTCAACTGACAGCGTCCCTCGAACCTGTTTCACTGGAGACAACTGCTGGTTACATTAAAATAAAATAGATTAGTTTATTACTGATCAGCAGTTTGTTTTCTTTGCAAAAAAAAAGTTTAAAGAAACATGTCATGAATATAAAGCTTTACAATGTTAATAGACTATTAGACTTTTAGTTATTTTATGTTGGTATGCTTCTCACTGAAACTTTCTTGTCTTCACATCTTTTTGCTACAGAGCCCCAGTGTTTTTCATTAATTTACATTAATTTGCCCTAAACTCAAGTAAATTACAACAAAATAAAATATAGAAAGCCATAAATAAATACATAGTAAGAAAATCACATTTATGAAGCCTTCAGTTTTAGGGTCCTGGTACTGTACATGCTGGATCACTATGGGAAACCTAAATAGAACAAGCCATCAATAATATTAATAATAACACCTGTACTTTTCTATACACCATAAACCTTTTGTCAATCAGACATTATATTAATGTATGAAATAGATGTTCATCAAATTGATGATTTTAACTTGTAGGAAAGTACATGTATGACAATAAACAGTAATTCATTAAGTCAACCAAATGAGCTAGTATGCACAAAACCAGTATCTTGAAATGAGGCAGCGAACTGGAAACAATCAATCAATTCAAAGTGCAGAATCAACATCCAATAAAGTCCAATACACTTTACGATTAAAAATAATATATATGATAAACATACAAGCAGCAAGCAAATACAATAGTTAAAATAAAACACCCACAGTAAAAACATCAGTGTTAAAAGGTGATGGACCTGATTAAGTTGTAGGCTGTGATGAAGTGAATAGAGAGTCTTGATTTAAAGATTTCTACTGAATGTACTTTAACATGTAGTGGAAGGCCGTCTCAAAGATCATAGCAATGAAAGGTGTTAATAAGAATGTAATTTAATTTTAGAGTGAAGAACATTTTCTGTACATAATGAGCCACACACAATATAATAGTGAAATAAAAATGGCCATGAATCAATATATTGTCTCTTTATACACAGAAAGAAAATGTACTCACCTTGACAATAGTCATATAAGGTGTACTGCAGGTAATGAATAAATGAATGTTGATTACTGTAGGAGGGATGAATGGATCAGGAAAGGGTTGAAGGATGAAGGGATGAGGGTCGAGGGGTAGGGGATGAGGGGATAAAGAGTTGAGGGATGAAGGGGAGAAGGAACCGAGTGGGTTGTGAGACTCTGGTCTGTGGTCTTTGTTCCTGAACCTACTTATAAAACTTCATGTAGTGTTTGGTGAACTGTAGCTTCCTTTGACATCTTTGTTGATGTGTTTCCTCACATTAGGGCGGTTTCAGGAATGTAGGCTGCAACTATTATTTTCAATATTTATTCATAATTTGGTCCAAACAAATCCTTTCATTTGCGAAGCTAGAAGAAGGCATTATTTTTGCTTAAAAAAATCCTTAATTTTCTAATTTTCTGTTAATAGACTTAACTAATTATTGCAGCTCTCCAGGACTGTGATATATGAAGCCATACAGGGTTAATCAAATATAAAAGATATACAATATCAGAGCTAGAATAACTTATGTTTGGCATTTATAAATAACTTTAGATTAAATGTTCATGATTCCTTTATTGTTGTATCTTATTATACAGACATAAGAGAGGTTATGTCTGTTTCTGAAGAAAACACAATAAAATTGTAATAAATAAGGAGTTCAAGAGGCTGTGTGTGTGCAAATGTGTGTGTAGTTGTTTGTGCGTCTGTATGTGCCACAGTCAGACAGCAAACTGGCCGTTAGAGTTCATTTGTTCACAAGTCTGGTTGCCTGATAGAAAAAACTGTCCTGGAGCTCCGGGTCTTCAGGTTGCAGTACTGCTAGAGGATGTATTGTCAGAAATGGAATATAATAATCATAGATATGATTTCATTAGTGTATAATTACCTGGAAATAAGAATTGTTGTGTTTTCGTTAGCTTAGAGTCGTTTTTATCTACAGAGGGAGCGGGTCCTCTTCTGCGGAGGCCACCATGCTGAAGTGCCATGCTGTTTCTACAGAAGCCCACAGCGAACAAACTAAACACTGGCTCTAAAAAGAGTTTCATGGTCACCGTTGTTAGCTCCACACTTTGAAGGCTGAGCAGTCTGCATATAATGTGCATATCAAGATGTAACAAGGCTAATGTGCATTGGACGTAATGTAAAACAGGCCATACATGCTAGAACATGAGAGGAGACAGGGAAGTTACACTCAAACATTTACTTCATTAAACCATGTTTTCTGCTCTTCTGCTTTTAATTCCCCTCAGTAACAGAAGATCTGAATATATATCATATATAATATTCATTTATAGTATGAGTATTGAGTCTTGTTTATTCAGACAGTGTTTTTTTTAATAATAATGTGAAGTAATTGCATACCCTGACATTTCTCATGATGAGTTTTACAACAAATTAAATATTTAATACAAAATGTATCTTATATCTTAGAATATTTTGACTAATCTAAATGACCGTTTTTGAGAAGAAACCTTAAAAAAGTGAGAAAATATTGCCTTCAAATGTGAGCTATAGTATTTATTGAAATGTATTTGCAGTCTTTACGGCCCTGGCCGTATTATTAGTATTATGTTATGGTATTGGTTCCGTCTGTGGTGTGTGTTGGTGTTTTTTTGTCCCTGTTCCTCTGCAGGAGTGTGCAGCCTGCCGATTGTAGATCTTTGACGGCAACCCGTAGGTCAGCGCTGACTGGTCCATGCCGTGGGCTCGGCTGGTGGAGTGTCGCCTGCTGGTTGGTTCTCCCAGGGAGCCGCAACATCCGCCGGGGATTCAAAACGCCGCACCACACCGAAGCTCTTCGACAGAACCTTCAGCAGCAGCATCCTTCTGTCCTCGTTGTAGAGTGTGTGTTTTTGCGATAGAGTGAATTGTTACGATCTTAGTAGATAGTGTTTTTGTATGATTGTGTTTAGTGAGTATCGTAAGGGTGAGCTGCCATTTTCTTTGTACTACTTTTCTCCTGTTTTTCATTAGGATAGGGAGTTAGGTTTAGTAACTGTATTTTATTTCTATTGCATAGGGATTAGTAAGGATTTTTGTTTAAGAAAGTTAGCCCTGTTTTGTTTGTTGTTTTGGCCTTGGTTCACCCTGAAGTTTGTTGTTTAGTCTTTGTTGCACTTTGTTTCACCTGTTTGTAAATAAATCACATAACTTGATTGTTAACACTGTGTTAGTTGTTCGTTTGGGAATCGGGGTAGGATTATTGGTTCATTTTTCATCACACATTTATGTGGCGCTCCTTCCCCCTAGACAGGGGCGTAACAGCAGTACTAATTGTACCCTTATATTTGAAATATGAATAAAAACAAAACCACAATAATTTTAAACACAACCATACTTTGCACTGTTGAGATAAAGGATTGTTGTGGTCTGCAGATGTTACATAATATACGTGCAGTGTTTGCCAGACTGTGGTTAGAAACTGATAAAGTCTCAGTGCAGTTTCATTGTGGGCTTTATGTGTGACACGGTGTCATTTTCTGGGTGGATGCTTGTGCTCGCTTTACAAAGCAGGTACCTTCTCATGTATCTCCTGAAGGTCTGGTCCCGCAGTCCGTAGACTATCGGACTAACAAACCGTGGGAGGATCTGGACAATGACATGGCAGGCAAAGCGTACAGCCAGGTGCTCTGTGGGCAGTAAGTAGAGCAGGCCCTGTTCAAACATGGGTTTCACGTAAGTAAGCATACATAACAGCAACTGGAAGCCATGGAGGAGAATAGTGTTCCTGGCTTTTTTAAGTTGTGCACTTGCTTCCTTGGCAGTGAACAGAATCCTGAAGTAAGTGTAGAAGAGAGTGGCCCAGACCAGAACAAGACAAACGATGTGTGAAGCATCCCTCTTCTTCAGGCTGTAAGAGCTTCTGAACACGAAATCTCTGGAACAAAACAACTTAGAGTGAAAAAACTGCAGCGGCTCTGTGGCCAAGAGGATGAAGACATCTGGGAGGATAGAGCACGCACTCGCAACCCAGATCAGACCAATCAGGATGTAGGTTTTCTTCATGGTACAGATCTGTGCGTGACGGAGGGGGATGCAGATGGCGATGTAGCACTCGACCGCCATGCCAGCTAGATTGAGCGGGGTGTTGAGGGTGGTGAGGATGGTGATGGTGAGCAAGATGAGGCAGAAGGATGCGTTGATTGTGTGAAGGGCGTAGCTGATGATGTGGAGAAGAGTTGACAGGAGCAGCTGCGTCATGTCATTTATCACCAGGTGGATGAAGAGAATGTAACGAGGGTTTGAACTGAAGATCTGAAGGGGGATAGGATTAGTGCTGACCGTAGTATTGTAGGTGCTTTAGTTCATTACAACTTGCTTTCTCCAGCTCGTATTTTGCTGCTTTCATTTTCTTTTCAAGCTGTTTTGTTTCAGCAAGAGTGCAAAAAAGGAAATGTTGCACTATGTGACAATATAAGCAGAATGCACAGTCGGCTATTGTTGACTCACAACAAGTAAACAGACAATATTGTAGCAAATTTACCCCCAAATAAATGAGCAATAAATGAAAGCTACCTTGTCTTTCAGAGGAAGTGTAACTAAAATCACATGTGGGATCTGGTAATGTCTAGCCTTTACGATACGTCAGAAAAACACAGATTTAAAGAAATCTTTCCACTCAATATGACTAACCCAATTATGCATAGAAATAGAAAACATAAACATTAGAAGCAAGGATCCAAATCACATTAATATTATGTACTAAGTACATTTACACAGGTGCTGTATTTAAGTACAAGTTTGAGGTACTTTGGATGTAAGGGATGTCTGTTTCTGTAAAAAATGTTCTCCATTTATGAGGATTTCTTTTGGCTGGATGATTATGAAAAACTTGAGTTGTGCTTCAGAAAGGGATCCTATTTTAATTATTTTATTTATTTGCCAAGCTTTGGAGAGAATGCAGAATATTTGTTTAGGACTTAACTGTAAAATAATCTGTAATTTTGTAATGAAATAAAATGTTTGACCACTGCCGCTGTACTTTTGGTGAATTGTAAACCCACAAGTTAAAGTCAGGCCCACATTTACCAGCTGCAACATGCTTACACATTAATGTATCACTGATTCTAAACTAATATGATGTGTATTTATAGTTATGTTTATATTTATTTCAAATGGGTCATTCTGAATAATGAGCACATAAATATGAGTAATGCCAATAGTTAAGTTAAGTTTACTTAAAATTTTGAATGTAGGTTTTTTGCTTGTAACAGAGTATTTAAGTATACACTGTAGTATTACTTCCACCGTGCTCATCTGATGGTGCAAATGCATGTATTTTTTTTAACATGTTGTCATTATTTAATTTCTTGGTTGATATTTTCCAGGTTGATAAAATCATTGTTTCTTTTATAACCTAATCCTAAATATTGAAATGGGTCTAGCTTATTTTATTATTATTTTATTTTACTGATTTGTTAAAGTTATTAAAACATTTGACATTTTCAAAAAATAACACCTGTTTAAAGCTGAGAGGGAAAGAATTAGATTTGAAGTTAAAGGCCGAGAGAGTCAACATGCATTTCCCTCTGCTGCTGACTTGCACATATATTGTGTAAAAACAAAGGCGAATATCAGACCTGGTGCTTTCTGAATGTGTGGACCAGAGTACCATTGATGTAGTTAATGGAGATGCAAAGAGCGGTGACGATCACATTCTTGGTCACAGCTGTGGTGAAGGTGTCCCGCTGAATCCCAGTAACAGCTGAAGTGCCATTTACAGAAGAAAAATTCATGTCCAAATCGACTAAATCCTGTCTGAAATAAACATAGATCATTTTAATGTGCCCTCCTAAGACAATAAAATAATAAATACATATCTATAATCACTATAATCTTCTCTTCTGAAACTTTATAAGATATTTTAGAGCAGGTGGTACAGCTGGGACCGGTGTTGGCTTTGTCTGAGTTAATAATTGGGCATAATCCCTTCAGAGGAACCACTACCACTATAGTAGTGTTTAGTAGCAATTCAGTAATATCTACTGATAACAAATCTAAATCACATAAATGGTACATAATACATATTACATCCAGTAATATAAGATAATTATATACACAATAACAGTAATGTGCAGTCCATACAGTATCTGACACTGTATACTGAGTCCAATGTAATACAAGCAGTCAGCATGAGTAGACTGTACCTACCCAGCAGGACGTCACGCACCAGTCTGCTGTGAGCGTTGATACAGAGAGTTTATATATGTTGATTGAAGACATTTGGGACTATGTTGGCCCATAGTGTGTGTATGTTGGCATGTGTGTGTTTTTAAAGGAATAGTTTCACATTTTAGGAAATTCTTTCCAAGAAAAGAGAAGTGAAGTCCCTCCTCTTCGGTGTCCCCTTTTTGTCCCGGACTTTATTTTCTGGAACAATATGTATGGTAGTTAATGGCAAGACAAATAATTACTGCTAATGTTTGAATTGTTCTATGAATTAAACATGTTTTCTTAATTTAAAAGACAATTTTGCAAGTGAATAAAGCAGCAGTACTAAAGACAATATATGTCACCAACACCGACATGGCCGTCCATTGTAACGTTATCTTACATGATGTGTTCATCCAGCGACTCCTGGTCCTTTCATCAGCCGGGAATTGCAAGAACAAAAAAAGACCCGTAGCTCGAGTGATTACAACCCAGCGTTAGCTTGTGGAGAGTCATGATGTTACTTATGTGACGTTTGACTGTGTAGTTTTTGTGAATACATATTTCTACACTAAACTAGACTAAACTATTTGTTTCTTGCCATTAACTACTCCAACTTAACTTAACTGCCATTAGGTCCCATGGTGGTCCGCCAGAAGGGGAGGGACTTTGTCTATCTCTGAGATAATCAATCAATTCTTTGTGCCTTACATACGGGGCTGAAGCCACGATGTAGCTGCAGCAACACTAGCTTAATGTAGCCCAGGTGAAAAAAACACACAATTAGATGAGACCAATAAAAGAAGAAAGAGAGTATTTTTTTTTTTTTTTTATTTGTTTACATTGGCAAAGTTTTAAATGTCCAATTCTATTTGAATGCATCACTCAGTTCACATAACCCCACGTGGGGGGTACCTAGCCCTCAACAGCCAATCACACTTCTCTGAAAGCAACTCAGTATGTGTATTTACTGTTATTTTATTTGCATGTTATGTTATCCTGGTTCTGATATGGATATGATATATTTTGAATGTTAATGGTTCATATGAACAGTAACACATGTGAGTTCTTGAATGTTTAGTACTCATATTTGAACTTTGATATCTTTGAATGTTTAATGTTGTACAACTGAAACTGAAGATTTGAGATTTGATAAGATTGAAGATATATGTTTGAGGTTTGATGCAATATGTAGCATTTTGACATTTAAACCTTTAATGATGCATCTGAGAATGAGAGTATAATATATATGACCTTGTTTATAGGTCAGGTTTTTGAGAGAACGGGAAGATTCGAGGACCAGGACGTGATCCTGATTGTGTCAGATGGCGAGCTAAAACCTTTGAAGAAAAGACACCGACAAGGAGATACACACGTGCACACTCACACACATTCACATTACACTCCCATGAACATTTAATATCAGGTGCACCTGCAACAGTTTTCAGTTTGAAGGGCCCCAACGGACACTCTTATTTCATTTTTTGTGTGCACACTATTTGTTCTCTGGTCATTTGGGTCATTATTTTATAATTTGGTATAAATTGAATTTTTTTCTTTATTCAGTGTAAAAATACAATACATTCTAAGTCTAACTCCGTCTGCTGTTTGGTGCCTGAAGATGGTGAGACTGAACCAAAAAGTAAATTTGCAGGTTGGAAAACCAAAACAGACCATAAAGCTACACAGGGAGTGATGAATTTGATTCATACTAATTTACTGTAAAATTACTGGTAAGAAGTTACAAATACCAAAGTGTCTAGCTGTCCACTAATTAAGCATGAAAGCGCAATACAATACAACATATGCTTTAAGTCCCAAACAAACTGCCTCTTATGTATTAGTATTAGTGGGGATCAAGTACTCCAACAGCTGGATTTCCATCTGTCTCGGTTTTCAACACAAAGCAATTAAATAGCATTTAAAGGGTCATGTTACACACCAATTTAATCAGCACAGAGGTAACAGCAGGCAATTCAAGCAGGGATCATTTGCACATGAGTAAACATGAATGGCACATTTCACTGGCAGTTCCACAAAACCTCCAGTTTCAGAAATTGCTCATTATTTCAACAGAAACGTATTTCCCAAGGTTGTGTGTGTCTTGCAAACTGTGGTTGATAATCCTATATGTCTGATGTTGCTAGACTAATAGAAATGTTTTTTGTATTGTGTGAAACAATTACATATGACATATAACTAATTCCTGCATTTTAGCACTCTTTCAACATACAGATCACAGTGTTTAATGATGACTACATTTAAGTAAAAAGAAGGCTGAACTGGTGTGTGGGAGAAAATATGACTTTATTTGATGAATTTGGTAAAAGGAAACAAAGTAGTTTAATGTGACCCAACTATACTTCAACTACAGCAAGAAATAACAAACATGTCCAAAGATCTTTAAAATTGAAGAATGCATTTATAAAAGACCTTATAAAAAAACATAATTTTTGCAAAACAGGGGTGGAATTTACATCCTGTGTTTGATGTGTTATGGTCAGTAACTATGCAACATCTACTATACAGAAATCAGAGATGGAAAAAATAAATCAAACACATCTTTACTCTGGAGAAAAACAGGTCACCTGAGCATTATGGGCCAACACTGCAGATTGTAGACGTATGCACTGACTGGAGGGAATACCAGATGGAGAGTGTGAACTACAGGAAAAATTATTTGTACTTTTTCAACCACAGCAAGTTGTTAATTGGGACTTCTGTTGGTGTTGACCACAGTTTGAATGAAGTCTAATTAGGGCCTGTGCAGCGACCACTGCAAAGGCCTTATTGTCAGTGGTGCCCGTAGAAGTGGGTAAACTCTTAATTTATGCCCCCATTTATTTTTTAAAGCGGCCCTTCCAGCAAAGGACTGGGCCAGTACATTCTCACTTAACTTCTGCTGCTTGACTTCAGGGAGTAAGGATCATATTCAAATAAACATTAGCCACAGAAAAGGTGCAGATATTGCATAAATACTGGCACACACGGGTGAGACAACTACGTAATTATGCATTCTGAGTGAAGTCTTCCTTACTCCATCCACTCATGAAAACTGTAATTGGAAAAAAACTACTACTACTGAATGATAAGCATTGTGCATCATGTTATACCCATCGCTGACTGAAAAATATTCAAGTATACACATTAAACTCTGTATACCTGCATATACCCTGCACTACACCACTGCTTGTTGTAATGTATGTATTTCACTGTATGAAATTTAGTATGCAAGTATATCATACCCTGACTAACTAAATTTCATTGGTCATTGGTCATTTTTGGTGATTTGCAGGCGTTGTATGACTTACTAAAGAATTAATTGGATCGACTTATTGAGTCAGTGCAATCTGAACACCTTCATGATGAAAAGTTTTATTAACTATGAGTTTTTGTTGAATGGCGTTGAGTTTTGAGGTGTTGCTGAGAAACAAGAAGTTGTTGTATCCGCTGCTTAAAATGGTTTCATTCAGATGAAACAGTATAAGCAGATCATCAAAAAACAAAAACAGGACTTTATAATGGCCTCTTCAGAGGTTTTTGTGGATGAGTTTCAGCACCACTTAAACAGAATATATGTCTTTTCAGATACTTTCTGAACGTTTTGTCTCGTAGCCCATAAACAACTGGGCTGATTAGTCGAGGCAGAACCTGAACGAATATCGCGACAGTGAAGCGAATGGCCAGTACCCCTTTTGGGAACAAGTATGTCAGACCTTCTATCATAAGATGAAAAACGTAGGTGAGCATACACAGCAGCAGCTGGAAGCCATGAAGGAGCACAGTGTTCCTTGCTTTCTTGGCGTCCGCAGAAGCCGCTTGTGCAGCGAAAAGGATCCTGAAGTATGTGTAGAACAGAGTGAGCCAAATAATGACCAGAAACACTATGTTGGATATATCTCTCTTCTCTGTGAGATTGGGGTTTCTGAAAATATTTTCCCTGAGACAAAAAACTCTGGAACGAAAGAACTCCAGGGATTCTGTTGCCAGTGCGTCAAATAAATCTGGCAGGATTGAAAGTGAGCTTATCACCCATATCAGACCGATCACAACATATGTTTTCTTTACTGTACAGATCTGTGCGTGGCGGAGAGGGAAACATATGGCGATGTAACACTCCACTGCCATAACAGCTAGCGTTAGGGGATTGTTTAGATTGGCAAATATAGCAATCATTAGCAAAATGATACATAAGGAGACGTTAAGAGTGAACACGATGTAACTCAGCACCTGAACAAGAGTGAACATGGTCAGCAGGATAATATCGTTGATCACCAGATGGATGTACAGGATGTATCGAGGGTTCATATTGAAAACCTGCAGGTAAGAACAGAATTGATTAGAGAGAATGTATATGAGAATATATCACACATGGTGCTTATTCCTAAAGGGATGAAATGATTTTAACACTCGTGCTAAATGGATTTCTAGAAACAGATACAGACCTGGTGTTTTTTGAATGTGTGCACCAGCGTACCGTTGACATAGTTGATGGAGATGCAGAGAACCACAGTAATCACGTTCTTGATAATAGCTGTGTTTAAAGTGTCACGATAGACCGTTGTTGTGACATTCCTGTTAGTATTTGAAAGGCTCATGAGTCAACTGACAGCGTCCCTCGAACCTGTTTCACTGGAGACAACTGCTGGTTACATTAGAATAAAATAGATTAGTTTATTACTGATCAGCAGTTTGTTTTCTTTGCAAAAAAAAAGTTTAAAGAAACATGTCATGAATATAAAGCTTTACAATGTTAATAGACTATTAGACTTTTAGTTATTTTATGTTGGTGTGCTTCTCACTGAAACTTTCTTGTCTTCACATCTTTTTGCTACAGAGCCCCAGTGTTTTTCATTAATTTACATTCATTTGCCCTAAACTCAAGTAAATTACAACAAAATAAAATATAGAAAGCCATAAATAAATACATAGTAAGAAAATCACATTTATGAAGCCTTCAGTTTTAGGGTCCTGGTACTGTACATGCTGGATTACTATGGGAAACTTAAATAGAACAAGCCATCAATAATATTAATAATAACACCTGTACTTTTCTATACACCATAAACCTTTTTGTCAATCAGACATTATATTAATGTATGAAATAGATGTTCATCAAATTGATGATTTTAACTTGTAGGAAAGTACATGTATGACAATAAACAGTAATTCATTAAGTCAACCAAATGAGCTAGTATGCACAAAACCAGTATCTTGAAATGAGGCAGCGAACTGGAAACAATCAATCAATTCAAAGTGCAGAATCAACATCCAATAAGGTCCAATACACTTTATGATTAAAAATAATATATATGATAAACATACAAGCAGCAAGCAAATACAATAGTTAAAATAAAACACCCACAGTAAAAACATCAGTGTTAAAAGGTGATGGACCTGATTAAGTTGTAGGCTGTGATGAAGTGAATACAGAGTCTTGATTTAAAGATTTCTACTGAATGTACTTTAACATGTAGTGGAAGGCCGTCTCAAAGATCACGGGATGCAGTTATTAATTACGCCTCCTGCTATTATATATTATATGATATATATCTGCTGTGAAAAAGGACTATTCTACATTTGCTGTTATATTCAATTTGAAAGTTATTAAAACAACTCAATGCAGAGCACACTTCATAATTCACATTTTGATAGCAATGAAAGGTGTTGATAAGAATCTAATTTAATTTTAGAGTGAAGAACATCTTCTGTACATAATGAGCCACACACAATATAATAGTGAAATAAAAATGGCCATGAATCAATATATTGTCTCTTTATACACAGAAAGAAAATGTACTCACCTTGACAATAGTCATATATGGCAGTGGTGCATACAGTAAGTCAGCTGTCTTTGAAATGACTTATTATATAGTAAATGACATGGGATCAACAATAGTCACAGTGTGTGTGTGTGTGTGTGTGTGTGTGTGTGTGTGTGTGTGTGTGTGTGTGTGTGTGTGTAGGTGTGTGTGTGTGTGTGTGTGTGTGTGTGTGTGTGTGTGTGTGTGTGTGTGTAGGTGTGTGTGCAGGTGTGCGTGTGTGTGTGTGTGAGAGAGAGAGGTGTCAGTGAGTGTGCATTAGGGGAGGCCTAAGTAAACAGACTGCAGCAGCAGGTTTTTCTCACTTTGTGCAAAGTGACACCAGATATGCAGTTTTAGGTTGACACCGAGCACAGGATGATAACCAACTTGTTTTTTGGGAAGATTAGCAGCAGACTGGGCTTTTCTTGAGCCATCACATAGTTATGATCACCTAAAATGAGATAAAGTCATGATCTGTTTGACTCAGCTCACCAGATGAGGGATTAATTGATCACACTGATTTTCATGTTAGAAAGGTTTTTATGCAGAGCTCAATCAGTTACAATCAATAGAGGAAATGTGACATTAAACAATTCACATGCCCCTTTAGTCAGTTTTTGAGTCCACACTATCAAACAAACCACAATGTATAGCCTACATTATATTATTCATTGTTAATATCTAGACTGTATAGACAACCACAACAACCAACAGACAGACGGACACCATGCGGTCAAAAGTCAGTGGACACCCCCACTAATTCTTGAGTTCAGGTGTTTCCATTCCCATTTCCCATTGCTAACAGGTGCATAAAAACCAGCACATAGGTTATAAAGAGCTCAGTGATTTTAAATGTGGCACTGTCATAGTTTGCTACATTTTTCCATGAGTCACTTTGTTATATTTCTGCTGTACTGGAACTGCCTCAGTCAACTGTAAGTGCTATTATTGTAAAGCAGAAGTGCAAAGCAACACTGTTTGTCTGTGTTTGATGAAGTTTGGTCAGTTTGCTTTCAAACAAATAGTACCCCTGACAGTATGTGTGTAGTACATATATCCAATGCAGCTCGTGCATGCCTAGTATTTGAGGTAAATGCAGAATGCAATGCTCTTTTGGCTGTTGTGGACCAACTCCATATTAATGCCCATGGTTTTAGAATGGGGATGTCCAACAAACTCATATAGAAATGATGGTCCGGTCTAAAACTAAAGAAATATATGTCTAATGTCAGAATTTCACACATCTTGTCCATTTTAAATTCGTAAGATTGAAAATTGGCTCTATGTTGGTCTAAATTTATTGTATTTGTCACAAGATTGAAGTTGTTGTGGAGTATATCAGACTGAAGCCATGGTTTGATAAAGATGGGTAACTCAAACTCAATCACCTAAACAGAAAACATCAGTGGAATCAGTGGTTTATAACTTTTTTATTTCATGCGTATTCATCATTTATTAATCTATGTGCTGTGGTGAAGCACAGCAACACAAACATGTAATGTGATGTAACAACAGCATCAAAGCCACAAAAAGTGTGCAAGAAATGTACAAAACATGATGGTAATGTTAGCATGCCTCTCATTTTTAGCTGGAACTGATGCTTTGAAATAGTTTATGGATGGCAATGTTGGTCTGTCGGTATATCTCAAACTATTTCATCTGATGAACTGCCTTGAAAAGTCATTAGCATTCATAATCCACAGAGGTTGAACTCTACTGTCTTTTTCTCTAGCACCATCATGAGGTTGATTGTTCTATGTGAAATGACTGATGCAATGCTTATCGTGCTTAATATAATTCATCCGACTGCAGGAAATGAAAATGTGGTGTTCTTTGTACTTGGGTACTTTCACACTGAAAAGGCATATTCTCTTTGTCCTCAGGGGTATTTACAATTGGAAATACTTTAATAAGATTTATCTATCTAGTTTGTTATCTAGTACAGGAACATCAATTTTGCCGCAGTCCACGGTTTGATGCTCGCTCTCGCTGCACACAGCAGATACTTTTTCAAATGCTGTCTAAATGTCTTGTCCCGTATCCCGTACACAATAGGACTGACAAACCTGGGAGATATCTGGATGATGATGTAGGAAATAAAGATGACATGTAAATAATGTTTAGGAAACCAGTAGAACAGAGTCTTGTTAAACACAGGAGACACATAGGTTAGCATGCACAACAGTAGCTGAAAGCCATGGAGCAGGATGGTATTTCTGGTCTTATTTGCATTTCCATCAGCTGATTTAGCAGCTTTAGCATCTTTAGCAGCTAAGAAGATCCTGATGTAAGTGTAGAAGAGAATGAGCCAAACACCAACAAGATAAATTATATAGGAAACGTCCCTCTTTTTCAAGTGTATAGGGTGTCGGAACAGATTATCCTTTTCACAGAAAATTGTGGAATGAAACAACTGAATAGGCTCTGTTGCAAAAATAATGAACACATCTGGCAGGGTTGAGACTGCACTCATGGCCCAAATACATCCAATCAGAATATATGTTCTTTTGATTGTACACAGCTCAGCGTGCCGCAGTGGTAAACAAATAGCAATGTAGCACTCCACTGCCATGACAGCTAAATTTAATGGCGTGTTCAGGGTGGTGAAGACAGCTAAGGTAAGGATCAAGCAACAAAGAGAAACATTAATTTTGTAGAAGATATAACTTGAAACAAACAGACTTATTGTCGTAGTCAGCTGGATCATATCGTTCACCACCAGGTGGATGAATAGGATGTAACGAGGATTCACATAAAATATCTGAAGGAGAGGAGAAGAAAAGAAATACATTTGTCAGTTAAAACATTTCATCTTTTGTTTATTACTTTAATAAATACATTACATATTGACTGATAATTGATTTATTAATTTCATAAGGTGCCCAGCTCATGTGTGCTTACAACATACTAGACAGCAGTGACAAGCAGAATGCAGACATGACAAATTATTATACACTTCCACAAATTCAAAAAGGACATGTATCCATAACCTTCTTAATCTGTATAAATTTTCTATAAATCTTGCAAACAAAAATCTCCAGTCCCAACTCAGTCCATCACCTTGAGACAACCAAAACAAATCAGGGTCCTTCAACTGATCAACTTTTTTTCAAACAAATCACTGAATCACTGTACATGGTGCAATGGAACACAGAATGAACACCAAGATCACAAAAAAGACAAAAACTCTAATCTTCTGGAGTACCTTTATATCTGCCTACGAGTACCTACTGAGCTCAAACATAATAACTGATAATTAAATAATAATGATCTTGACAATAATGACAGTGATAATGATGATAAAGTATTCTGACCTGGTGTTTTCTGAAGGTGTGAATCAGGGTACCATTGATATAATTGATGGTAAGACCAAGAGCCAGAACAATCACATTTTTGGCCACAGCTGTGCTGTAAGAGTCTCGATAAGTTACAACAGTTGACACGTTGTAGCCATAAGATGAGGAATTCATTGAGCTGATTTGAGGATCCTGCAACATTTAAAAATATTACCTCAAATTTGAACTTACAATGTGTTCTTATTTGCATGTTCCCACAGTTGGAGGAATACTTAAATGATTCAAGGAATTATGCACTGATGAAATAAACCTACAACCAATAAACTTGTCATTACATTTTTTGTACAAAAAGCATTCACCCTTAATTTTATCCAACCAAAAACAAAACTATGTGAATGCCTCACAAAGGCAATAACACACTTTAATACTAGGAATCACATACTAAGTTTAGGGTGTAACATTTTCCCCAAATAGTAGAATTAATTCAGAATGAGACTGTCACACAAACAACACATCATTTACCTGAAAGTGAAAGTCAAAATATGATTTGGTCTTATAAATAATATAAATACATGTTCACTCTTCCACTTATTAAAGCACATGATGTTAACCAACTAGATGTCATACATATATTGCATTTACGATCATTGTTGCAGAAGATGTGCTTCTCTTGAGGATAAGTTGCACAGTTCAAAAAGATTGCAATACTGTGAATAACATTATAATAAAATACTGCACTAATACAGTGTGATAGCATCAAATACTTACCTTAGATAGTACACTTCAGTCACCGCTTCACCTGTCACAAACTGAGCCTGAAATCAGTTCCATGGCTTTATAGTAAGCAGGATGATACATGAGTCCTGCAGAAGGTCAAAGATGAGATTGTTTTCCTGGTTCTGAATGAATGATGCAACATTCAGGGAAAGTAAACCAACAGACCAGACATTAGATGCAAAACTACAAACCAGATACAAAACAAGGAACAAACATGAAGTGCAATACGCAGGATAAAAACTATTATTAGACGGTGTTAAGAATATAAGTATAGTATTGAAGCTGCAAGCAGCAATTATTGTACAGTGTTATGTTACGTATTGTTGTGTATAGTGTGTATGTACACATTCTGACGGCAAAGATGAACTTCCATTTTATACAAATGTAAACACTTACAAATAGCACAACTTTAAATGGTAATGGTGTTCAGATGAAACTGGCAAAATTTGAAGTTGATCCGATCAAATCAAATATTTCTTTTTAGCTATAAGGAGCTTAAATGCTATGACCAGTAGGGCAAACAATCATGTTATGTTGTACTGTACATTATCAGTCAGTGTCGTCATTGTTGCCCCCCCAGCAGAACAATAGAGTCTCTAGGCCACATACTCCAAACTGCTGTTTTGTGCATGAGTACCCCTAAGACATGGGGTGTGGCCTGCAGTGACCCTGAGCAGACCATAGAACAGCACTAACAATAACAATGTAAATGTATCATGGTGAAGACATTAGAAGAAACACAGAGGAAGATGAGTTGGAATGTGGAACGGGCACCAACCAGCTGGTATCCACCCTTTAAACCTCCAGTCCTTTGAAAACAAGATGACAGCTTCCAATGGGACATAGAAGACTAACTGACTGACTGACTGAAACTTTGCGCCCTCCCCAGGTACTCCTTCACTATTTCTGTATGAACTATCTGACAGAAAAAAAATTATCTGGTAAATGCAAGGATGGTAAGTCTTAAGAAGTACAACAGTTGGTGAAGATCTAGAGATGTGTTTTTTACCCATCTGTCCCACAGACATCTGTCAAAAAAACATGCTTCTATTTTATTCAGTACAACTTTCTACACAGACTGAGTGATGCCATTGTTTAACTGTGACCAAATCACAGCAAATGTGCTGCTTTCACTACACTGGCTGTGCAAACAAGGTGTAAAACTCTCTCGCTCCTCCTTGACTAACTTGAAAATCTGCCATCCATTCTACTCTCTGTAGAAATGCCCTTTGGTGGTAATCTCTGCTGTGTACTACAAGCAGATACAGACAGAGAATTAACAGAGTAAGACGATATGATGTGCCGGCACCAGGCCAAGTACCCGAACACTAACCTCATCACGGCTGGGGATTTTAACAAGATCAATCTTGGTCCTCTGCCAACGATTGTTAAGGCCATTGCACCCCAAGTAGATTTTTTGATATTGTCTGATATTGTCGCTCGTTTAAATACGACCTCACATTGTGTCAATCATGTTAATGATATTTTCTGCATTTTTACACCAGTCAGGTGGACAGCTCTTGTAGCCACGGTGCCAAATACAAGACGTGGGCAAGGAGTGGTGACAGCCTCGGAGGTACCTCCAGTGGAGGGAAGCAAGGGAGGAAATGAAAGAGAAGGAGCAAGAGACAGAGAGACAGCAGAACCAGCTCCTTTCAGCAGGTGAAACTCAACTTGTTCTTGACACCTTGGACCCAATATTTATTTTTATACTTTGAAGTGAGACGACCACAAAATCATGTAGTATTGTGAATTTCACAACAAATATGATAATAAAAACGCATCGGACTCAGTGTGCAGGGTTTCTTTGGGTAGTGATTTTAATAGGATGATGGATTTAAAAACGCCCTTTTATTACCGTCACTTTAACTTTTCTATGGTAACATAGCATTATTGTGTGTTATTCTACTTCGTTTAAGGATGTTTGATTCTGATTGGCTGGGAGGAGGGCATTAACCCGGCAGGTTGCCCGCTGACTTGTCGGTTGTACTTGCTGCTGACTCAGCACAGCGTCATCAAATAGTAGATCAATACGCCGCTTATATTTTTTTTCTATCACAGAAATTTCAAACATGTGGTCCATTGTAAAAATAAACCTTGTTTAAAGTTTCTAAAATGTGTCGGAAATCTATCGGAGGGTCAGTCGATACAGCGTAGCAACTACGTTATTAAACTACTGATCGGATGCAGCCTTGTGTGGTTGCTATAGAAACTAATTAGCTACAGCCGAGCTTATCGTATTCACCGTAGTTCTAAAGGGGACTACTTTTTGAGGGAGATGAACTCAAACAGAGTATACATTTAATAAGCATGCAATACGAATAAGAAAAAGCATAATTACTAAAGTATTTGAATTGTTTTATTATGTTGGCAAGCAAGAAGTAGAATAAACGGGATAATAATAATGCCCGGCGTGGGCATATCAAACTGTTTATTGCCCTGCCTTGAGGTGATTATCCCTTACTTGTTGTTATGTATAGTTGTGTACAGTGTGTTTTGACCAGTGCCAAAGATGAATTTCCATTTTATGCAAATATTATGGAAAATAAAATCATCTAAATCTAAATCTGAATATGATATTTTCATACAGAATTTTCATTTCAAATAGAACATAGTAGGCTGAAATAAAAAAATGAGAGTTTTTATTTGGACACCTACAGGAATTAAATAAATAAAACAAATGCCTGATTCCTTCAGATTGTCCTTAATTTAATGCTAAGTAAATTACAATAAGTTTAGCTTTAAACTGGACCAGTACACAGACCATGACATACAGTCAATCTGTGGCAAACACTATTCAGTTGTTCACTGTTCTGATTACTGCATTTTCACTATTATTAGATGGTGGCCATATAAACCTACAATAGTCACACAATGATCTAAAATATACTCGTTTGTTATCATCACATGAGGCTGGTGAGCCAGTTAAATCACAGGCTCTCAATACTGTGTCATTGTCTTTCCATTCTCAGTGTTTTGAATGCAGTTCTGTATTTTGAGCCCATGCTTGTTTCTAAATCCTGTGCACTGTTTTGTCAAGATTTTTTAAAATCTGGGTACAACAAACATCTGACTTTTATTTTTAACATAACAGGGTTCTAGAAATATTAATTTATGAGAGTGCCTTCGATCTTTGGATGTCTGTTTACTGTACACAGATAACTTTTAAAGTACTTCCTGAAAGTCTTGTCTCGTAACCCGTAGACAATAGGACTAACAAAGCGAGGGAGGATTTGGTTTATAATGAACATAACAAAGTTTATGGATGCTAAACTCCCTGGGAACAAGTATGTCAGCACTTGAGATAACATAGGTCGCACGTAAGATGTCATACACAGCAGCACCTGAAAGCCATGAAGGAGGATTGTGTTTCTGGCCTTTTTAGCATCTGCATTAGCAGCTTTGGCCACAAACAAAATTCTGAAGTAACTGTAAAACAGAGTGAGCCAAACTACAACCAGAAACAATATGTGGGATACATCCCTCTTCTTTACAGTGTAGGGGCTCCTAAACACTGAATCCCTGGAACAGAAGACTCTTGAATTTAGGAACTCCAGAGGTTCAGTGGCCAGAAGGATGAAGACATCGGGTAGGACAGAAAGTGAACTCATTGTCCAGATTATGCCAATTACAATATATGTTCTTTTGACCGTACATATGTTGTTGTAGCGGAGGGGAATGCAGACTGCGATGTAGCACTCTGCTGCCATGAAAGCTAGGTTCAGAGGGGTGTTTCGTGTGGTTAAGATGGCAGGCAAAATGAGGAGACAACAGAGGGAGACATAGATGGTGTGGAAGGCATAACTGAAGACGAAGAGGGAAATGCTGGTTGTCAGCTGGATCATGTCGTTGAACGTCAGGTGGATGAAAAGGATATAGCGAGGGTTCAACTTGAAGATCTGAATTGAACAACAGAATTAGGTTAGAATGCAGATATTACACACCTCCACTTGGGTATTGTACATTTATCTAAAACCACTAGTCCCATTAAATTAGAATTATTTATATGATTGGGGGCATTACTTACAATACAATTTTATATGACTGGGCAATGAGTATTGCATTGATTTGGGGCAAAATACATTCTTACATTCCTGTATTTAACAAGCAACTTGATATAAACTTCTACTAGTGATCAAGTCATATCAGTTTTCTTTTGTCATTGTTGCATGTAGATTTCTATCAAGTCTATGCATATAGTCATTGGAAGAGGATGACAAATATAAAATATATGACTTTATCTCTTAAAGAATAAGAAGGTTGTGAAGATTCTAGTTAAATAATTGCTCATTTTGTTGTTACCTGTCCACTAAATTGATATTAATGCATTTACTATAGAAGTATAAAATAATTTCACAAAATGTTTTTTCATGTCCAAGTAGAAATACAATGTACACATGTAACCTAGATGGTAGGAGAAAAAGGTACATACATCAGGTTACAGGAGCTAGAAAATGAAGTGTTATTCCAAAAATAGTTACTGCAACAACTAGAATCAGGAGAATAGGGTTATACCTTTTAAGACCAGATAGAAAAGACGGCAATGAAAGGGAAGTGAGAGGTATTTTGTACGTATTACATGTTTTACAACTAATTTCTTTCTTTGCTTGCTTCACTAATTAATTTTTTCTTATGTATAAATACTATTATACACACATGATGCTTGTTGAATGTGTGGACCAGTGTTGCATTGATGTAGTTGATGGTGATGCCGAGGACAATGACAGTCACATTCTTGCCAACAGCCAAAACAAATGCGTCTCTGTAATTCATAGTCGTCGTTAAATTGTTGTTCCCTGGTGTGAAATTCATGTCAGCATCCGATGAACTTCTTTCAAAAGCAAAAGAAATACAATTTACTATCATAAAATACTGAAAGCATGATTTCAAAATAAATATCCTCACTAGTTTTTTCTCTGAAATTTGAAGTAGTCAAGTGAACAAACAATTCAATACTGACCTCAGATTGTGGATTCTGATCTGGA